ATTAAAGAAGAGAACAGGAAATTCCAGGCACCTCTTCCATTTAAACTTCAACAGAGAGTATCCATTAAATATTTATGAGAATCTCATGTAGACACCATATGGTGATACCAAGATCTAAGGGTTGACATATGGTGTTGTAGTTACATGGATGGAAAACATTAGATTAAAGCATTAATATCATTAACAGAACCTATAGAAAAGGTACACTTGTTGGTTCCACATCAAAGGTGGCCTTACCCAACTTACCCAACGGATATATTCCTGTTATTCAAGTTTACAAATATGGAAGTATTTGAAATAGTCACTGTAAAGTGATATGCTTTTGGAGTTTGGTTAGAATGGTAACTTTGTGTGTAAAAAGTAGCTAGTGATTGATACCACACTTTTAGCAAAGAAAAACATTAACAATTTCAACCATCCCCAGGCTGATCAAGATGACATTGTTTTTCCCAGAATATCTTAAAATATCACTGTCACATCTATTGGATGTCATGCTTTGGAAAGCCATTCAATTTTACCACACAAAAAGCATTTTTGACAATGAGATCATTAACGATAAACATAAAAACAAACACACACACACAAGTTCAGAAACTTTAAGAAGTTTCTACAGTCACATGACTGGATTTCTGCCTTCTAGCATATCATCACACATTTGCTGCTGTTGAGGTGGGATACGGGAAAGGTTAGAGACAGGTTTTATTGTAGTGCTGGGCGGTATACCGGTTCATACCGAATACCGGTGTCTATTTTTGTTATGATATGACTTTTTAAAATACCGCAATACCGGTGTATGTCGCTTAAACAACGTTCGGAACGCGACACTGTTTGAAAGGGGTTTGTTACTCAGACGCAGGCAGTGATATAAAAAGTAATCAGAGACAAAAAAGTAATATAGGTAAAATAACCACATAGCCGCTCTTTAGTGTAGATGCATGTTTATTTTATCAGACGATGCCACGATTATAAATGAGAGTGACTCCTGGTTAACATTAAATGGGGTCGTGTTTAGTCACTATTTAGTGTGGTATTTTTTGACAATATTCACTCATCATGACAGTAAAATAGGGCATTCTAAGTCAATATACTGCAGTATTTCCTCTCTCAATCAGTAGAAAATATGGTTAACACCCGGTCATGCATGAAAAAAAAATCCCGTCATGTACCGTGAAACCGGTATAATTTTGAAAAATACCGTGATATAAATTTTTGGTCATACCGCCAAGCACTATTTCATAGTATGTTTAGGTGTTGGATCAACGTTGTAAATTGATGTAATTACAGAAATTAATTACAAATGTAATTACATACAGGTAGTTTTTAAATATATGTACAATGTAAAACACGTATGTACAAAATATGTGCATTGTATCAAATTATTCGTATGTTAACAGCACTATTTTAAATGAGTTTGTGTTAATGTGTCATTAACTTAGTCAGCCCTAAGTTCTACACAAGAGACATTTTCTTCAGACACAAGTTGCAGACTGACATGTTTTTCCTCCCCTTTTTGACTGACAGGATATAATCGACCCTGATCATCAGCTGTTTTTAATCAGCTGATATCCAAAAAAAATGTTTAATAAAATTTTCTGATACCGATTACTGACCGATACATCGGTGCATCCCTAACTATTTTCATATTTTTATAGTGCTTTTGCCTCATTTAGGTCATTTAGAGGTTTTGTAACTCAATTATCTCAGTAGTTTGAGAACTTTTTTTTTTTTTTTGGATGCTTCTGAAGTTTTAAAAAAGAATGTAAGGCACCCAGCTGTCCTTCAACAAGTGTGGGAGTAGAAGGGGAGGACTGAAACATAACTTGTAAGTGTGAAATTATTCACTCCAGTTTCTGCAGAACATTCCATGAATATACTCCAAATCAGCAAAAGTTTTAAAGACTTGACATTCAACTTTTACTGTCTGTTCATGCATGGTCACATGGAAGAAAGTGTGAGAATTGGAAAACCTGCATAAAAAAAAAATCAACTAGACCATTTTTCAAGAGCACAAGCAAAAAATGAAAAGTGATAAAGATCTAAAGCTAACAATAGCATAAGAGGCAAAGTACATAAAGCATCTTAGTAAAAATAAATTAAACACACCTGGTAGGTAGGCTAGTCTTCTCTGGAAAAAAAATAATTTAATTCAGCTGACTCTCGAGAGCACAAAGAAAGACAAAAAATAAAAAAAGCAGCACTGAGAGTAAAGAGAAGCCTACACACGAACCACTATAAACCTTTAAAGCCTTAGGGCATTTCATTCAACAGAGAACGGATGCTCTTGTTCTTTTTTCTGCATGTTTGCAATGTAGTAGTACAGTTTACACTTCCATAGCACAGTGTGCTCAAAGGCTATTCAAACTGTCATATGGCATTGCAGTTAAAGACTTAGGCTGGTAACTGAATGTTGTTGGTTCAAACCCTGCACAGTTGATCCATTAACTGACACCTTTGTGCCCTTAAGCAAGTTATAATTCCAGGATACCCGCTCAATAAGTGTACTGTCAGATTAATGACAAATTAATGTGTCCCTTAAATGAAGTAATATATAAGGGACTCACCACCAGAATGAAAAATTGTAACATTAATTATAAAGTAAAGCTATGATTATTTTTAAGTAGTTTGAGAGGCAAAAACATAATATTTTACAGAGTTCTTAGGTCTTAGATGCCAAGTCAAACTCACGGGTTATGCCAGAAAAATTTGCCTGTGTAAAAATCTAAAAATAGACATTTTATTACTTTAGGGACAAATGAACCAAGTAAATAAGTGAACTATATTTTTCCCCCCTATGAATCATATTTAAAGCATGTACCAACCTTTTAAGACCCACTGATACGAATGCTTTTTATTTGATTTCAATAAAATAATTATTCCTTGAAAGAGATTGTTTATGCTTGGGACATCAGAAACACTTATTTCCATATTTCTGAACTGATCTCATGAGAAAATGTGACTATTTTATGAGTTGGTGGTGATTCATACAAAAAAATTATTCAACGTTTTTAGCCATTTTTTTTTCATTCCACACAGATACCAAATAGACCGTAACAGACATAATAATGATAGTAGCCTAATAATAATAATAATAATAGTAGTAGTAGTAGCAGTAGTAGTAAACGTTATGGAATTTGACTATAACTGATGCAAGGACAGGTGGTCCAATTCACATTTGACTCTTACATTATCATGACCCTTGTATTAATCTGATTACACCTGTACACATACCATGGCCGGAACTCGATTTGAATTCACACAAGACAGTGTTCCGATTTGAATTTGACTGCCATTCACACTTGGACAACTATTTAATTTATCTGTAATTCACTGCTATACATGAGCAAGTTCTTCAACACTGAAGAATAGTCCTTTATTTGTCAATCATTTGCTCTGATGGCAGGGTCTAATTATCTTCTAGAAGTAAAAAAAAAACAATGAACAATACATGTATTACAGTATTTATTAATCTTTGTTAATGTTAGTTAATGAACATACACTCTAAAAAATGTTGGGTTAAATACAATTGGGCTGTTTTGACCCAGCGGTTGGGTTAATTGTTTAACCCAACCTTCTGGGTAGTAACCCAACCGCTGGGTCAAAACAACCCAATTGCTGGGTTTGTCCCTATTTTACCCAGCACTGGGTTGCATTTAACCCAGCATTTTTTTAGAGTGTACAGTTTTTCATTGTTAGTTCATTTTAATTCACAGTGCATTAACTAATGTTAACAAGCACAACTTTTGATTTTAATAATGCATTAGTAAATGCTGGAATTAACATTAACTTACTAAATGTAGAAGTACTGTTCATTCTTAGTTCATATTAACTAATGTAGTTAACTAATGTTAACTAATGAACCTTATTGTAAAGTGTTACCATTTTTTAAATTAGTAAAATATGTAATTTAAAAAATGGCTCAGAAAAGTAAAGTTAGGTCTGAAACTAAAAACTCTAGCATCAGTTGTTTTAAGATGCCCCTTTTATATGTTGGTGTTTAATGCAAAGAAATTCATATATTTTAAGTGTGGCGAAAGTATTCAAAGCCTTTGGACTACTCACTGATTTTTATCATGTTAACTGTAACTGGCCTACAGTACATGTGCAATAACATGTGTTTCATACCATCAAACGTTGCTTAACTCATGAGAATCTATTAGACAAACTGTTGAATAGAGCTACTTTTTGATTTCAGTTTGATTTCAAGATTCCAGTTTTATGATGTCTGGCCAAACTTGTGTTGTTACTGTTAACTAAAACATTTTTGTTATTTAAAATAAAGCTGAAATTAAATATATGAAATTAAAAGAAAACCTTAGGCTTAAAAAACTTAAAACAGCAATGTGCAATGTTGCCTTGGCGACAAACTGATAAAAGAACTACTAAAACTACCAGAACTACTAAAACTAAAAATGAAATATATATACACACACATACACACAAAATCTAATAAGCACATCAAAATTTACTAAAACCGAAAAATATAAAATTTACAGCTAATTAAAACTATGAATACTATATGAATAATACTAAAATAACACTGGACTAAACATTGCCAACAATGTAGACTTGTGGTAGTACAGTACTATACAATGTAAACTGATAATTGTACCACACTGCATTGACTATATTTTCGAAATGAATACCATAACTACATCCAGTGCATGGAAAACCCATATTACTAAATGAGGTTGCAATAAATTCAGGGACTTTGACACTGGAATTCATGGCAGTATCTTGATCATGTGGTGTGTAAGCTCTTGTGCCAGGGAACAGATCCAGTGCGGATGAAAGCAGTCTAGGATACAGACAAACATAGACATTAAGAGCTTCCTGCCTATATACATTTTCAGATGGAGAACCTACAACATAGAACAGAATCAACTTGATTTAGTAAACAATATACTATATACACACACACATATATACATATATATATATATATATATGCATGGGCGAAGTTTTATATAACTAAACAAACACTCAGAAGGTTGGTTTTACCACTGATTTGTAAACTGTTTATTAGCTGTTTCACACTGTAAAAGTTTCAAACATTAAAAGTTTAATGTTTAAAGTTACATTAAAAGTTTTCAGATGCCACTGGTAAGTGAGAAACACATGACAATAGCAGCAGCTTTTAGAATCACACAGACATCATGAAACAGTATGATTCCTCACACATATGTTTGTTGATTCATAAAAGAGTTTACATTTAAAGACAAAACCGCTACAAAGTATAAGGCTACTATAAATTCGATTATTCATATAACAAGCAAAAAAAAAAAAGATATGAGTACCAACATTCATTTTGTAAGTATTTAGTTTAGCCAGAGGATATAAAGAAAACACTGTTGCTGACACACATTGAACCCTGTATACCGAGTCTGATTCTGGCTCCCTTAAATGTCTTCTGAATTTTAACAGTCCACAGACATACAGTACGCAGCTCCAGTTGTGAGAAAAATTGATTGTGTGATAAAAATTGTAAAAAAAATGTAACTGACTAAACAGGAATGTCAAAAGAACCATAATCTCATGCGCTTGTCAGTATGAGAAATGAGATAGACGAATGATGGGAGATTTTGGGAACATTAGGAGCCTTCAGTGATAGGGTTCTGACTCTTCTTGTTGAGGTACTCAAGAACAAAGACCTGCAGGATCTTGTTGAGGTTGCTGATGGAGGTTCGATCCAGGTTCTCCTCGTTGTCGTCAAAGGTGTGCCACACCTCAGGAAAAGGAGTCGAAATGAGATGGAGAATCCGGACCCCTAGGAATACAGAGAAATACATACGTAAGTCTTAAATGCTTTTTATATGAACATTCATAAATCTCAGAAAGGGTCTTTTACCTTGGTTGAGAAATGGTACATGGTCATCCAGAATTAGACCCACATGCAGGCCAGGCCAGAAGTACTGAACCTCATTAGGGTGATTCTTAAGGTGACCGAGCGCATGCAGCCGGCGCTCTAGATAAGAGTAAAGAGAGATTTCTTTGAAGCCTGACAAAAAAATTATTAAACCATAATGTTTTAAAATGTACTTTTAGGTAACTTTTAATTTGGCAGTTTTTTAAATATATGTGACCCTGGACCACAAAACCAGTCATAAGGGTCAATTTATTAAAATTGAGATTTATACATCATCAAGCAATAAATAAGCTTTCCATTGATGTATGGTTTGTTAGGATAAGACAATATCTGGCCGAGATACAACTATTTGAAAATCTGGAATCTGAGGGTGTAAAAAAAATCTAAATATTGAGAAAATCGCCTTTAAAGTTGTCCAAATGAAGTTCTTAGCAATGCATATTACTAATCAAAAATGAAGTTTTGATATATTTACAGTAGGACATTTACAAAATATCTTCATGGAACATGATCTTTACTTAATATCCTAATGATTTTTGGCACAAAAGAAAAATCAATAATTTTGACCCATACAATGTTTTTTTTGGCTATTGCTAAAAATGTACCCCAGCGACTTGAGACTGGTTTTGTGGTCCAGAGTCACATAAATATATTTTTTTAAAGATTTGAAGTATGCAAGTTTATATTCATTATAATTAAGAATGCTTGTTTTTCACAAGGGAAGCAAAAATAAATGAATATTTATTTATTATTAAAAGTAATATCATGCGTAAAATATACAGTACGTTACTCAGTATTAATGTCTTCTTTATTGAACTGTTGTATAAAAGCACACAGAATCACACAGCTATCAAACATTTCCTGTAGTATATTAGTTCAGTCGTCTTTGCATGACTACAAATTTCTTGAATTGAGAATGTAATATTTTTTTAGGATTCTTCATTACCATTAAATTAGTTTCCCTCGTTAATCAGGATTTATCTCTAACTCCTAAATGAGTGGTGCAGAATGGAAACCTCTCGCATATTCAGTTTTTTTTTACTAAAAAAAAACTGTTGTTTTTGCATCTACACCACTAGGTATCAGTATAAGATCAAGACGGTTGCCATATTGACCAGCAAAACATAAACAAAAACACTACTGAATGCACCTTTAACCTTTATAAAAAAATAATAAATGAAGTATTCTAAAGCAATAAGCCCCAAGAAGCCGTGGTTTACAGTGAATTTATAACAGCTAAGGGGCTTTTCGCGTCGTGCCTAACAACACCCCTTAGCTGTTATAAATTAACTGTAAACCACGGCTTCCCGGGGCTTATTGCTTTTATAAAACGGTTATTCCATATACGTAGTAAGGTTTCACAGAATAAAACAGAGCAAATAAAGTGTAATGATATACACTGATGGTCACACCAGATACTGACTGGTTTTCGGACCCCCACCCCCGGACCCCCCAATACAGTAAAACTGCACATTTTAGAATGGCCTTTTATTGTGGCCAGCCTAAGGCACACCTGTGCAATAATCATGCTGTCTAATCAGCATCTTGATATGCCACACCTGTGAGGTGGATGGATTATCTCGGCAAAGGAGAAGTGCTCACTAACACAGATTTAGACAGATTTGTGAACAATATTTGAGAGAAATAGGCCTTTTGTGTACATAGAAAAAGTCTTAGATCTTTGAGTTCAGCTCATGAAAAATGGGGGCAAAAACAAAAGTGTTGCGTTTATAATTTTGTTCAGTGTAAATAAAAACAGTATTCTTCCACCAAACAATGTAGTTCCTCAGAAACAGTTGTGGCTCCAACAAAGTGGTTGCCGAGCAACACACAGAGAGACTGGTTTTGTGGTCCAGAGTCACATAAATATATTTTTTTAAAGATTTGAAGTATGCAAGTTTATATTCATTATAATTAAGAATGCTTGTTTTTCACAAGGGAAGCAAAAATAAATGAATATTTATTTATTATTAAAAGTAATATCATGCGTAAAATATACAGTACGTTACTCAGTATTAATGTCTTCTTTATTGAACTGTTGTATAAAAGCACACAGAATCACACAGCTATCAAACATTTCCTGTAGTATATTAGTTCAGTCGTCTTTGCATGACTACAAATTTCTTGAATTGAGAATGTAATATTTTTTTAGGATTCTTCATTACCATTAAATTAGTTTCCCTCGTTAATCAGGATTTATCTCTAACTCCTAAATGAGTGGTGCAGAATGGAAACCTCTCGCATATTCAGTTTTTTTTTACTAAAAAAAAACTGTTGTTTTTGCATCTACACCACTAGGTATCAGTATAAGATCAAGACGGTTGCCATATTGACCAGCAAAACATAAACAAAAACACTACTGAATGCACCTTTAACCTTTATAAAAAAATAATAAATGAAGTATTCTAAAGCAATAAGCCCCAAGAAGCCGTGGTTTACAGTGAATTTATAAAAGCTAAGGGGCTTTTCGCGTCGTGCCTAACAACACCCCTTAGCTGTTATAAATTAACTGTAAACCACGGCTTCCCGGGGCTTATTGCTTTTATAAAACGGTTATTCCATATACGTAGTAAGGTTTCACAGAATAAAACAGAGCAAATAAAGTGTAATGATATACACTGATGGTCACACCAGATACTGACTGGTTTTCGGACCCCCACCCCCGGACCCCCCAATACAGTAAAACTGCACATTTTAGAGTGGCCTTTTATTGTGGCCAGCCCAAGGCACACCTGTGCAATAATCATGCTGTCTAATCAGCATCTTGATATGCCACACCTGTGAGGTGGATGGATTATCGACACAACATTATATTAATAATTTTCTTTTAGTTTTATGTGTACTGTGCTGGCTGGTTTTGTTCATACTGGTCTTTATCTGCACCGGGTTGGAAAACATTCCGTACGTTTTAACTTTCAGATGTCTTTTCCTTATTCTTCCGCCAAACATTGTAGTTCCTCAGAAACCGTTGTGGTTTGTGGCTCCAGGTTGCCGAGCAACACACAGACGTAAACAAAGGTGTATGTTTGTAGTGTAATTTACAACATACAACAG